TATTAATATGATAAAATATGTTGAACATATATAGTTAGGTCGATATAAACTTGTGACAAAAGCCATGCACTATGATAGATGATTAATATAATATATGACTGACTGGATTACGGTGAATAAATAAAATAATCTGTATAATATTATGATCAAACAATAATATTCTGACTTTTTGAATTTAAAATGTTCGAAAACGTAAGGACTGAATTTCATAATCTTAACACATCAAATTAAAATTATACGAGAAAAATAATATAAGTCACAGGGTCATCCAAAAGAAGTGTCAACGGACCGTTAGAAATATGTCGTATGTAATATACGGTTCAAATTAAAGCCTTGTGGTGAATAATTAATAATATTCGCAGGTATATACGTACGTATATTACACGCATATGCACATAGATTACATAACCCGACCTTAAGTGATGGAAGATGGGGTTGAAATTTACCCGCGACCAACCACCAATATACAGTGCCACAGCCCACGACCTTAGTGCGGATGAGGGAGAAGACTTATCCGTCTTAATCTCGTCGAGACGCCGGCAAAGTGTCGGAGCGGTGTTCGTGTGATAGAAGGGAAAGAGGCTGCACCGCTGCCCCAAATGTAATATAACTACTACAGCACAGAGAAGAGGGCTCGTACGCGAAGGCCATCACTTTTCAGTTTTAATACTTTGCTTATATTTCGACGTAGTCGTTTGTCGGGCGAATTATGGGGCTGGGCGGTGCAAGGTGATGGACTACGGAACACTCCCTTTAACAGCTCGCGTTGTTCTTCACGTGCGCAATATTCGATAAAGTGTTTCGCATTTATAACGACGACGACGACAACGCCAAAAACTTTCATTTTATAACAGGCCGCCGTTGCTGCTGCCACAGCCACTACCACCACATCAAACTGTAGAATGAGTTGCTCGCACTATTTTATAATATGTATAATATGTATCACCCTCCCCTTTCCCATACAACCAGCCAATGAACTGTCTCATCGTCCCCAAAAATAAGAGAGTGTTAATTTTCCCCTATGTTTTTTTTTTTTTTTTTGTTTAAAAAACACTTTTTATGCACCGTCTCAGTTATTACATATTTATACAGATAATATTATATTATTCAAATCTCATTTTAAGAAATAACCAACCCAGACCGTTAATCACTGTTATATTATGTGTTCCCATGACATTTATATACAATATTATACATGTATTATCGTATTAACAATTCGTATCACAATAAATTACTAGATTCAGAATTTTTCACACAAAAATATTACACAACTATACTTGATGGTGAAATAAAAACTCCCTATATTCACTTTTTACAGGGTCAATATCATCATAAAATAAAATAATTCAGTGGTATACCGCACATATACTCAGGAGAGAGGAAATTCTAAATTTCCAGAATCACAGGTCGAATCGTTCAATCAGGACTTTACCTCTATCTACCACCGTCAAATCCATCATTACCGCTAATATATTCAACCAATTTTAGTTAAATATGAAAATGTATTGCGATGATCATTGAGACGAGGATTATGTAATTATGTTAAATAAAAAAATAAAAATGAAAAAATATATAAGACATAAACATCAAATGAGAAAATGTATTATATTTTTACTTTTTTTGTTATAATATATGGTTCTATAGGGTGGAAATCCAAAGTAGCACATTTTGTAGTGAGATGCTGTAAAGTACAACTCGGGAAAAGTTCTTATACAATAAAAGTACAAAGTGTAACATGCCACAGGGTCGTTATTTATTAAACATAATTTAATATTGTTTTACAATTTTAAACGTGTTTATTAAATTTATACATTTTAACTAAAAGTATTTACAAACTATGGGTAATTTAAAGATTTTCCATCAACCATCAACGTGTTACATTAATGTATAATATACATGTTATAAGTAGAAAAGTAATTATTGTCACTCGTAATTTTATGATGCATTTTCGTGCTGATTTTTCATACCATATAATAGAATACTTTTAAAAATGGTGTACAAAGTGTATGATTTTGTCGAATGACAATCGAATACGTCTGCTAATGGTACAAATGATATTATTGTAAAATATAAATATATAATTAAATATTTTGTTTTTTAAATATATTTAATGCGTTGAAATAAGTATGTAACCACATATTATAAGATATATATATAATGACCCTTGACTACCTATAATAATTTATTATGTTTAAGGGTAAATATTCGAAAATCGCAATATTTACTATAAATACCCTCACTATATAGTTGTATAGATTTCGTTAATCAATTGATTAAAAACAGCTTTAGAGCTATATTAAAATATTACTGAAAACACTTAAAGTAAATATTATTTTTTTTCATTTCATAGTAAATGATAATAGTAAATTTTATCGGCACGTCATATAAATTAAGTTAGTTTTTCAATCATTTTTAATGTTGTACTTAATTACTATTTTACAATGTCAATTTTTACAATATCTTATATTTACTAATTAATTTCTTTAATAAACTTGTGTCAATTAGTAAAATCTATAAAAATAATTAAAAAAAATCATAAACAATTTGTCATCAGTAGGCCTTTGTGGGGTGAATATGGTATTGGGTTAAATTTGAGATTAATGATAAATCATTACAGTTAATACCCGACTATAAAATAAAATAATATTCATTATTAAATTATATTTTGTTTTCTTAGAGTAATGAAATAAAAATAAAGCATCAATGACAATGAAAAACAAATTTAATTAAGAATATTAAAATTATACTTATTAATTACCCATGCTTGGGTTTTAGTATTTTTTTTTACGTTAATGGGATTTTATGAAAAAATAATAATTTTATCCAAAAGAATTATCTGAAAAAGTATGAATATAATATGAACTAAATAACATGAGTAGATGAATATCGATTAATATAAATTGATTAATAGAATCATTATTCTTAATTAAACTAAAAATTTCCTTAGCGTTGAGAAAATAACTAATTATATTAGGGTGGTTTCATGGATGGTAAGTGAGAACGATTTTACATCGGTAAGTTTTAATTAGGTTATATATTTAATAAAATATTTCTAGCCTTTGCTCTCGTTTGAAAAAATCATTAAATATTTTTTAGACGCTTAAGTAATTCTCCGGGATCAAGTAATTAACCCCTTTTACAACCTTCGGACTGAAAACATACAACATATTACTGCTTAAATTAAAATTATACGGTGAATTTTCAATTCATATATGATATTATTATAACTATACATACTTTCTTCTGAGTATAATATAAATAATATTTTTAAGGTAAGTATAACATAGATTTATTGATTTTAATATATTTCCTAGACTATATTTAGAAACATTAATCCTTTCTAATTAAGTTATTTTTTTGCATAAAATAAATATTTTTTCGTATGTTTATTCCTCTTTTATTTCTGACGAATATTATAATTAAGTTTTAATACAGAAATTAAAATTTTAATGCGCTTTTTATGTTATCGCTTAGATTTAAAAAAATTTCTTTGGTTGAATGTTATTTTGAATTTATTTACGAAATAACTTAAACAAATTAAAAAAAAAAAAACCTTAAATTCATCTAGGCATGTATATAATAGAAATAATAATAATAATGAGAGATAAAACAAAATATATACTTATTATATTATACTTATATGTATATAACTAGGTATAATATTATTATTTATTATAAATATACAACTCTCCTTGAATAAAATTACCGTGGCACGTTTTCTATACATTATTAAACGTGCTTGTTGTTGCTTTCTCGAAATATTTTTTAACGAAATGTATACATTTTGAGTTTATATTACAACTATAATGATATTATAATAATAATTTCGTGACGTAATAATATACTTTGTTTTCCATCGTTCCATACGCGCACATAATATATATATATATATAATATACACGTATCACATATATACCGACAAACTCAAAGTATATATACATATTGTAATAGTAGGATATAAATGTATCTCTCTCTATATATATATAGGTACATTGATACTGTAGTTCATGGCCATTTTATTATGTATTTATCGATATGAAAGATTATCATAATATTAAAATATTGTATACACGTTTTTGAATATCACTATAGCTGTTTAATCACGTATTCGTGTTATATTGTTATTTACTATTTATCCATAAGGTTATAACTCATAGAAAATCAATCATAGGTAGGTACTTAAAATATATCTCTATTGATTTTTTTTTTTTAATTTTATTCATTGATAATCAATTTGAACAAAATAATTATTATCGTTGTTACTTTATAATGTTACGATATACACTTCAATTAAATAGATATCGTGGTTAAAATAACTTGCGTAAATAAAATTGTATCTAATATTATAATAAAATATACAGATATATAACGGAACGCCCAAAATCATTATTATGAAATATCATATACAAATTAGTAAAAGTATATTGTAGTTTATTTTTTACTAACTCCTATAAATTTTAAAAGTGTTCGATAAAAGAAGAAAGGAAAAAACCATCTATGCAAGAATTAACAAGTGAGTGTGCAGCAGGGTTCATAATATTTTGCACCGATAACATGTTACTTTTATTTTTTTCACATCAATAAACTCACGTATGGTATATGAATATAATATATAGTATTTGAACAGCAGTTTATGTCCCATCCATCACCTTAAAAGAAATCTTAGCAGTGATTTCCCAGAAAACCTCAGATAAAATATGTTTAAAACATGTGGGTATAGATAAATCAAAAGTCAAATAAAATTTATTTCAACAGTGATGCCTGAAAGCATGTATTTTGATCATTGAAAATTGTTTTTATATTTTTTTATGAAGTAAAATATATAAAATATAATAACAATACAACATCTTGATATTATATATAAGTTACAGTCTTTTAGATCACGCGTGGTTAGTTTACTGAATTACTAGGTGATATATTAATAATATACCTAGTAATATTCAATGCAAAAATATTGTATTTTTCGTTTTATTCAAATTTCATATTCAGTTATTCCATTCTATTATATCTGCAGTAAACAACTAACTTATCTGATGAATATTTTTACGATATTATCCACAACGTTATTGAACGTCCTGAAATTTAAAGTCAATCAGTATTAATTAAATAATATTTTAAGACTAAAATTCTATTCTATGATAACATTTATTATTTTAGTTTTAATTTTTTTATAATACAGCAAAGTGAGCCAAAATTATTATATTATGCAATAGTAATTGTTTTATAATCGATAAAATAATATTTCCTTTTTTTTCTTTTATAAATTATAGTGTATATTTAATTTTCTAAAGTTTAATAATCATTGTCCTTTATTCGTTTGTGCTTTTGTGTACTTATTATAAAAGGTAGCTCAAATTTAAGGTGTAGGTATCTAGATAGGTAATTAATATGATTTGTTTAATTAAAATATTTGTTCGCTTATAATTTTTTAATTATTCAACTATGGATTTCCTTAATTATGAATATCTTATCTACCATTATAATAGGTGCTATAAAATCTCAAAATATATTAAAATTACAAAAACTAATTGAGTGTTTTTGTCTCTCTCTCTCTCTATATATATATATATATATACAATGTCTAATGTTTAATAAACTATTTAATGGACTTTGATGCACGACTATGTCTGTAGTAAAAAAATACGAAAATGGTTTTAAACATATGGAAGTATATCCATATAAATATGTTGAATAAACCGCATATATGTTTATTGAACGAAATATGTATGCTATACATAATATAATATTATGATCTATACATTTATTGCTATTACTGCATATGTATAGGTATAGTAGATATTCTGAATTCCGCAGATCGTTTAAAACCACAATGTTTAAACTGAGGGTCGAAAAAGGTATATATTTTTGATTTTATACGTGTTTTGGATACAGTAAATATTTATTATATATAAACTTTATATATATATATATATATATGAGAAAGGAATAGGGAGAGGGAGAAACGACGATATATATAAATTATAAATGCTACTGCTGTGGCACTGCCTGGTTACGCTCATAGTCACACTTCTCGGATTCGCGGGTGCGTATAAAACGTCGATAAAATAAAAAATAAAATAAAATACCCAAAGTCCCTTTACGAATATATATATATATATGAGTATATTATAATATATAAATGGCGAAAAGCACACATGATATTGAAATATTATTTTTTTAAACCATCGTAAACAACGGTTATAAACGGTTATACTCTGGTGAACCGAAGTTGATGGATGCGTACAAATGGGAAACCGTACAGGTTAATACTGTACAAATGAATATATATTATATGTATAGAGATAGATGGCTGATTTTTTTTTGCCTATAATATAATGGAGACTATAATATTATACGGATGGTATATATATTACAGATAACAAATATACGTACAAAATTAAGCACCGAGCTCATCACGAGGTCGGTCAACGCGAAAATATCTGTTTGAGTACTCTTAATACGTTTTACAGACAATGTTTAGTCATCACATGTTATGTACATAATATAACTACGAGTATATACAATAGATATATAGAGTGATTGTTAAAATAGTAAACAATATAATTTTCAAGAAAAAATTCGATTTTTAATCAAAATTTTCTTATTGCAAACGTTTAAGATCACGTGATTACGAGCAGTAATTCTTGTGCTTTATATCACCCTTTTTTTCTCATTTAACTTTAGAGAAACATTTTTATTTAAAAATCTATCTTTAAGGTTTATTTAAATATATATAATGTATAAATATATTAAATGGATTCTTATTATTTTTATTTTTAAGAGGTGTAGCATTACAAATTGCATAGGTTATATGCCAAACCACTTATTTTCTTTTATAAGCAGCATTTTTTAAATGCTTATTAGTAAAAATAAATCTTTTATTAGTATTTGATATTGGTCATGTATAAAACATTTAAAAAAGTATAAAATAACAAATCTTTAAATGAGTAGTTGTATAAAAATCTAAAATTGATGTTGGTCTCATAGGAGAAAAATAATAAAGACGAATAATAAATATTAAAAACATATATGAGATATAACTACATAATGCACACACACATATATATATATATATATATATGTACATTGTGTATACAATTTATTTTAAACTTTTCGAAAATAAAATTATCCAAAATGATTACTTAACATTTATAAAAATGATAAAAATTGTACGCAGTTCAAAAGAATCACATATTGTTTTATTTATCTTCGGACAGACTTCAAGTATATAGTTATAGGTAATGCAGAAACAATTATTTTTTGCAGTCTTCGCTTGGGTGCGTAATAGCTAGTCGGGTCTTCTGTATTAGTTACATATTTTCATAGCTGTTTGGTTTTATATTTCTTCAAGTATGCACGCATGATCGATTAATATTTAATTTGGTTTTTTAGCATATGTGCGTGAGTGCCGTGAGTGTGCGTGAACTAAAATATTTGGAAGCGTGCAAACAAACGGCGGACTCGCACGTGCCTTGTTGTGACCTAAGATTGTTAAGTCGTTCTCCGTGGGACAGGTGAAATAATAACGGCGAGATCTTACACGTGGTTCGTAGGATATAATATGCGAAATACGCTTAAATTTACTTTTTTTTTTTCATAAAAACAAGGATATAGCCGATACACGCGCATGTAAGTATAGTTAAACACATTTATATGGTAGAATTTGTATAGAAATGTCATCGTTTCGGCATAAATTATATGTAATAGAAAGGAAGAAGAAAAATAATAATTAACAGCTGTGCCAAATTACATGGTAAACCAAGTATGGTATTAATTGCCAAAACGACAGCGCGACAATAAATGTTAAATTTAAACCAATTTATATGCACACTAATCGCCAATCGATGAATTTAAATTATTGCTATAATATTACAATATTATATACTATTAAATTATAATAAAGGAACTACTGCAGCGCCCGCAAACGCATAATCAATAACGGTAAATACGTATTATAATGTGTAGACATTTAAATGTAAATCTATACACTTAGGTATATTTCATAGTATAATATTTCAGTGGCCAGTTTGTTTTAAGATATTTTACGCAACGCATACTTTTAAATATGAGTCATCTCTGATTACCATAAACACGAAACTTAAATGGCTAAAACACTAGTACCTAGTGAATGTTTAAAAATAACGATAAAAAATATCTGTGGTTTGTTTTATTAGGTACTTTAATTAAATTGATAATTAATGGTTAATTTGGTTAATTTTTCATCTCTTTTTGATAAAAAATAAATTAAATTTAGTATGTTATATTTCCGGTACCTATAGGTGTAACCTGTAATCTGCATATTTATATGTACTTAAGTACTTTCCTAATATTAACTTATGATGTATAAGAAAACGAATAAGATTTGTTGAAATCTTTAAAATGAACGTAATATGATTTTAACATAATGTAATATTTATATTTATAGGCGGTTAGTTACAATAATACGTCTTGTTTAATTTGATTATTTTCAAATAACAATATAAAAGCATAGAAACTGCAAAAATATTACACTGTCCATTATTAACAAAAACGTACGTATAAAGTGATGTATAATTTATTTTTTTTTTTCATAAAATATTGTAATATTGATAAAATTAGTATTACAACTAATTTAATATATATTTATACTTATATGTAGCAAGTGTATATATTAAGTACGTATTTACTAACATATATAGTATAATGCATTTAGAGAAAAAGAATCGTATTTCATATTTTTTGGCCTGTTAGTCAGTGAAAGATTGCCTTGTAACTATATTTGAACTGTAGATTATATTATATAAATATGTACGTGTTTATACATTTACAGATATTACTTGGAATTCTGCTTAACAAATAATTTGATAGTCAAACACGCGATCATCCTCGAAGCGTTTTTTGAGCCAGTTTTAAAATAATTATAAATATTTGTAATGTAAAACGATTTATATATTATATATATATTATACTTAAATACATAATTATGTCATAAATATTTATTAGAAACTTGTATTTTCATATTTGGACAGAAATCAATAATTAATAATAATTTGCATTGGACATTATAATAATATATTACAAATATATTTTATAAGATGTTTACTAATTCGATAGATGACTAATTAATAAAAAAAAAAATATATAAGGTTTATCAAAATAAAAAAAAAAATAATATTCCTAGACTTTCATTTAAACTAAAATACGAATCCGATATATAATGTACAAATATTAATGTCGGTTGGTATTTATATAATATAGGTCCTATTGGTTGTCAACACGTGATAGTCACCAAAGAAGATATTGACAGTGTGTTTCACAAAATTATTCTGAACTCACAGTTTACGTTAATTAACCAGACCACTTACAGCGAATTATATAAACAACTAAAAAACGAACGTTTTAAACCTACATATTATTATTTACAAATAGACGATAATATAGCTAAGACCGTAGGTATATATGATAATTATACGTGGCAGGTTTTTAGCGTAAATGACTTAGCGGCACTGCTGAATGCTAAAAACGTGTTTTATACATACATAATAATACATAATATACATAATATAACTACTTATACTATGATATGTGTTAACGAAAGTAATACGAATGTTAAATAATAATATAATTTCAATAAGTATTTATCTATAGTATACTATAGTGCTATAGACTCTCAAACATAATATAATATGTACATTATAATTCAACATTCAACTCATATTCTTGATCCAAATTTATACTTTTAAATGTATTATGTATATATATATATAAGAAAATTGTGTTTTTTTACTATAATATTTTATATATATATATATATATATACAGGTGTCAGACGTAAACACGCTATGTATTAAATTTAAGCTAGTTATGGCAACAATAAATTGTGTTACATTGAGCAGGTATCGCTACTGAATCGCAGCTGTAGATAACGCTTGCAGCTAGTGCAATGCAAGATAATAATATGTAAAACGCCTGTAGTAATAGTTAATAAGATAAATACTTAAATAGTATAAATTTAATTAATCTAAAAAAAAAAATACGCGTATATTTAAGTATGGTAAATTTAATTATACATGAACAGTACACAGTGTATTGGTAAAAACTAAAAGTTTAAAAAGTACTTAAAATATGTAGATGTATGTCAAATAAATAGATAGGCGTTGTTCAAACAGAAAATAAAAATATTTCGTTTTAGAAATATACCTGGAAATAAATTATTTACGGTGTAATCGAATAAATTAATCGGTATAATCATTACTTTCTACACTTAAAAATTAAAAAAAAAAAAAGCAAAGCTTGAATCTATTAAAACTCGAATACAATTAATATAATAACTTTCAAAATGTATGAAGGCAGTGGACTATTTATTTTTTCATATACCCAACATCACGCAGTTAAATAATATGTGCGAATAAATGAAATTAATATACAACAGTGATGGGATTTTAAGTTGTAAATATTTAACTAAACCGTTATTATAATCATTAAAAGAAAATTGCGTTTTATAGAACTCGCGTCTAGAATAATTAAAAATAAGTAGAATAAGTGATGGCTTCAAAACTAAGCACATGGCCATTACTCTGATTGGATTATATACAATGAACGAAGAGTGGGAAGACACTTGTGTTCTTTTTATCTTAATGAAATATGTAGCGATAAATTGCGTTAAGAAAATCGTAATTAATTATTGTATATACTTACGTATATAAATATGAACTTCTATACAGTGTGGGCACCCTTACGTTTTTACGTTTCATATGTTATACTTATTTGTTATACGCTACGTCAAAAATAGAAAACCTTAATGTATATGTATACTATAAAATCTTTACCTATACTATATAATATTTTAATTAAATAAGTTGATTTTTATATAAATAAAACATGATTCTTTTAACTCATAATAGATTCATATCATAGATAATATACCTAATGTTATATATATTAAAGTAAAAATAATTTACTTCATTGAGCTTTATCCAGTAGGTATATTAATGTTATTATCATAAAACTATATGTACTTCTATACCAATATAATTTATTATGTTGTATGCATAATATACATTGTATACTATTTATATTCTATAGGCATACTATAGGTATACGTTCAGTTAATCTGTCGGCCCATTTAAAACAATAAAATTGTGAAAATTTATACGCCGACTGGCCGATTTTAATTAGATTCAGACCATAATATGAACGTACACACGCAAAGCATAAAAAATGATTAACAGCATGTAAATAAATTAAGTCAAATCGAGATGTTTTTGTTACGCTCGTTATGCTCCCGTGTATAACATAGAAACGTGTAAAGAACGAGTAATGAGAGTACGCATATGCATATTCGTATATAAATGTGTACTGTGCAATGTAATGTGTAAGTATTCATACCTATAATATGTTCTTATGAATAGAGTTTTGTAGTGTTGCAATTATAGTGTTTTTAACAAGGTTTCATTTAAAAAATGTATGCATAACTTATTCTACTTATAAATATGTATAGTTACTTATATACTATACTAATACTTTTGTAGTGTAGTATAGTATATAATATATAGGTAATAGAGATTCACGCGATCATTTGACTTTTTGTTTATTAATTATTATTATTACAGTGAGTCGGAGAAAGTAGATTTATCTTTTAAAATTAAAAAAAAATAATATATATATATTAAAATACGCGTACCTATATTATAGTGTATTCTAGTCTATTATAAAACGTAGGTACACACGTCGTGAAAGCAGCATAATTATACCTGTACCTTTACTTATATAAATTTGTCGTAATAAACATAATACTAATTGATCTACCTACCATATATTATCGAAAAATTCACTAATACACAAGTTAAAAATTAAAATGACAAGATCATTTTGAATGACTAATTTAATAACATTAATAGCATTTCACCTTTACCGTATATAAATATACTTTATAGTTCGGAAAACTTCGTTAAGCCTTTAATTCTACATATCATACATCTATATGTATGGTTTTATATCAAATTTATATTGATTAGTTGTGCCCTGCAGTTAACGTCAGTCTATCATTTTAAAAACAATAATACAATTCTAAGGAATAGTGTAGGTACACTGCAGCTTTAGTTTGAAATTTGAAATTGGTCAGTTTTAAATCGATTGCATTAATAATAGTCTATAGCAGGGGATGGTCATCAACATGAATAGATTCGCGGACCTGTTCATTTATAAGTACAATGATACCATTGATATCATTAGCTTGAATGCTTATAGATACATATTTTCAATTATAATAAAATATTCACAGTAATAATAACAACGACGATGAGAAAATTTTGAATTTATAAATAATAAGACACGAGCCGCATCTGACAGCGAGCCGCAGTTGGCCACCCCACGTCTACAGTACAGCAGTAGGCGTTTTAAAATCAGGGCTGATTGAATAACAGCCACCTAACTAACTTAATCGTAACTACCGTGGCTACAACTGTCATGATATATGTAATATGTATGATATGTAATGTTAATATTACTGGTAATAGGTTTGCATCATTCTGTGTACTTATATATTATTATACTAAGGTCTAGTTTTCGATGTTTAACGCGTTTCTATGTAACGGACAAGAGGTAAAAAATTTGTAAAAAAAAAAAAAATTACGTACCCGCTGCCAGTCGGTTCTTATCAGCGGCGAACAGGAAAGCGTTGCGCTGCATGAACGACACAGGGTCGATGGCTGCGGCCGCGGCCCACGGGGACTGCATCGGACCAGGCGCGCCGCCGCCCCCGCTTCCGTTTGACGGGTGCGGCCGGTGTGCTGGAACCTTGATTACGCCCGCTGCCCCCGAGTACTGTAGGTATGTCTTGTCGTCGGCCGGTTTGTTGGCCGCAGCCGCGGCCGCAGCTGCTGCTTGGTGAGCAGCGGCCGCGGCAGCGGCCATGTGCTGTTGTTGGTGCAGGTGGTGGTGAAGACCGAACACGGCCGCGTGGTGATGTCCGGCCGCGTACAGCGAAGCGAGCGCCTCCGCTGGACCGGACACGGCGGCCGCGGCCATGCCGGCGCAGGACGCCGAGCGCTTGGACGCCAGTTCGTCGGCGCCGCGTTCACCGCCGCCGCCGCCGCCGCCCCCGGCCAACAGACGGGATATGCCGAAAGTCAGGGCGCCGGGCGCCGCCGAGGTGGGTGACGACACGTCGTCCTCGTCCTCTTCGTCCATGCACAGCTCCTCGTCCGATCCGCCGGAATCGACGCGGACGTCCCGATCCTCGTCCGTGGTCGTACCGTCCTCGACCGAACTGCACTTGGTCTCGTCGACCATGTTGACGACTACGCGACGACGATTTCCGTTCAGACCACCGTTAGCCGCGCGAAAAAAATTGACCGCAGCACTAAACCTCGACGGAGACGACGATTGTCTTCACAGTACCTACAATTACGGTCACGATCTCGTACGAGTCCGATCGTATGTATTGCAGGTGCTATTGTGTGCGGACGATAGAGCCTGCGCAACGGGCTCGGTCACTTCGAACGATTTAAATGCGATCTCGCGCAGTAAGCCGTTTTAACAACGCGACCGGTACATTTCGGGAACCACGCCGACGAGTGTAGTAGCGGTTACGTCTCGTCTCATCGAATCTGCTGCAGTGGAGACGTGCCGAAGCGATCGCGGAAATCTCTGCGCGAAACGCGTCGACGGTAACGACACAATGTGTTCCTGTTCGCGTTATACGTTCCGCGTCCGCACGAGTGTACACCAATAATATCAGTGATAATAATAATAATAATAATAATATTATAAAGTAATAGTTCGTTAGGCGCGCTTGCGTGTGCGTGCGACGGTGCGTTGCGGCGCGGTTGGACACTGAGTGCGCGACGGACTGCGAGTGGCAGGCGGCGCGCGACGTCGACGCCGGCGGTAGCGCCGACCACCGTCACCGCCGCCCGTCGAGATGGGCGTCCGCCGGGTACCGCCTCGGCCGCGCTCCGATTGGCGCGCGCGGCAAATCAGTACCCGTCGTCGATGTGGTGAGCGTCGGCGGAGGGGTGTTCGGCGGCGGCGGCGGCGGTGGTGGGGCGGACGACGACGACGACGACGATATTAAAACCCATTTAACAACGCGTCGGGCGCGATCCCCTCGCGCGTATTCCTCCACACACTGGCCCGAGACTATCGCTTCACCGCGCCCGTTCGGTAATGATGTAATACGCGTGTGTTCGCGTCTTCTATGGCGCGAGTGGCCGGGTCCGCGTTCGAGCGGCGCGCGGCCACCGCGGCCTCTCTCGCACACCCCCCGTCCCTCGGAAAAAAAAAAAAAAAACATTGCGATCCGAGCCGCGCGCACCGCGGCCGCGTCCACACACGGGCGGCCGAGCGACTACGATATTGCAGCGTACCTATAACGCGCGCGAGATGCTCGGTGCCACATTACCGTACCCTTCCGCCGCACCGGCACCACTGATTTTCACGCTTATTTATAACTATTATCATTACGGTCGCGGTGCCGCTTTTGATGTACCCGAAACCCACAACGGCTATATTATAATATTATTATGACATAATATGTACCGCGTTCCTATAATATACACATAATAAAATAATAGGTACGTGCGGCCTGTGTTCGAAGAAAAGGCACGTCATATACGTAACGTCAACGAGTTGGCGAGAGGATACGTTTTTTTTTTTCTCGACATTATTGAACTGTATTAAACGAACGTTTAGACTATATCGTCTGAACATGATATTATAGTAGCTGGGTACGCAGAAAGGCGTATATAATACAAAGTTGAGTGCGTGAAAGTTGTACGTCGCAGATGTAGGTAACGAAAGGAATGGAAATTGGACGGACGTTCGTTTGGGCGATTCAAGAATATCTGAAATACATTATTGAAGTAATCAAACAACGTCTGCATACAGGTAGTTGGAGAAGTCTGAGATTGACGCAATCGATATCAGACTATAATGTAATTGTACAGAACGTTCAATAATATAGTTTGGTAACGGTCATTAGACTAATTGGTATTTGATAGCGATAAAGGATAATATTATGATGTATAATTAATAAAGTTATTAAATATTCTATGATATAAATATACAGCAGTGATATCTGCTTCATGCGGGTATTAAAATATGCATACAGTAATTAAGAGTTTCCAAACTTTTAAATATACCTAGTGTATACATATGCATACATAATAAATAATCTTTTTTTTTTTTTAATTGTAGACACTTTAACTTTTTTGTTTTGATATTAATTTAAAAGAAACTTCTGTATAAATAAAGTGGTAGGTATTACACGTGACACCAATAAGATAATACTTATTTTTAAAAGATTGGCCAGATGGCATAATTGTAGCACATATATTTAGAATATCTACATATAGAATTTATTAAGGAAGATATTACATATATAAAGGAAGATATAAGGAAGATTATATTACATCCTACTCAGGGAAATATTAAATTTTATTTTTGTATTCAGTACTTTAGTGGTTATCTCTACATCCATACTGAAATAATTTACCAACTTTGTATTCGTTATTGAAGTTCTGTCATTCAATTTGATTAGATTTTAAGAGATACAATAGTACATTTTTTCCTTCCAAAAAGATATTGTATAAATGTACTTGATTTCTACAATGATACGACTTAAACATATTACATACGAGTATTATGTTATTTTAAACTAATTTCCAATTTTAAAAAATTCTTGTAACTAATTTTTTTTTTTTAATACTTTTCAAAGTGAAAATAATAAGTCAAAAATATTTATTAGTTGTACAAAACACTATTTTAATTATCAACAAAAATCTCCAGGTTAAAATTATCAAACAACACGTGTATTAGCTGATGGTACGTAAAGAACTGCAGGCATCCTAGAAATACAAACGATACAGAATAATACGTAAAATACATACCTAATATGCACATTACACATATTTACATATAGTAAATTGAGTATGATACATATATATATTATATTACTATATCATATTTTGCGTATTTCATAGAAACAATTTATTTTTACAACAAAGAAAATATTGCAATTTTAAGCATCCATGCACGTTTATTAAAATTAAAAAAATACATAGATGCTCTTAAGACACATGCATATACATATACAAATGTTTAATAATATACTGCTATAGTCAAAATATTTTACGCTCAAGACTACGATTTCATATAAAATTATAGCGGTGGGTTACGCGCACGAGTTGTAAATAAATCCAAAGATGATAAACGTAGTTAATAAAAAAATTTTATTATTACTAGATACATAATATAAGAAGTGCCTATATAATGTTTATTACCAGTCCGTCTATATAATAATATAAAGACTAAGAGGGTTGCCGTAGACGAGCTCGTACATATCATTTGAAAAACCAATTACGTATCCGGCCCTACATTATAACTTCTAAGACGAATAATGGTTTTTTAACGTTTGTCATATCATATATCTATATAATAGCTGAATATTACACATTATATCCCAAGGTTAAAGCCAACTGTTATTTTATCAAAAACACAGAACTCTACCAATAATTATACTAACTCAACCGTTTATGTACAGCGCATTTATGCTGTAATTGAATCTCCATCCATTACCCATAGGCTATGATATAATATTATATATGCTATAGGTACCTGTAATATACTGTGCGTCAGATGGTTGGTAAAACGGAGGTTTTATGTGTACCGCATGCCGTAAAAATATTAAGTACAAATCGAAAAGGTTTAATCCGAATTAACATTGTTCTTAAATATGGCGTTTAACTGCAAAATTTCCATTTATTTTAAGTATACACCGCTTACACATTATATATATATAAATGTATGCCGGTATATCATATAAAAAGAAATAATTTAACGTTAGTATAAAAGTAATTTATTTTTATAATATTACAACAGCCGTGTATAGTTTGATATATATATATATAAAAGATGGAATATTTTTTTCTGTTTTATATCGTATCGTGTGATTGTAATAGCTGACTGAATGTGTAAACCTATATGAAATGGGAAACGAAAACAAAAAGTAATTTCCTATAGGTAAAATCTGATACCCGCCTTCAAACGTATTTTTTTTTTTTTTTTTGTTTTTTCCATACATAGACCAACATCTTGATTCGTGACCATAAATTAGTTGATATATATTTTATATTATTAAATTGTAGTTGAGTGTTTGGTATAATATTTTTTATACAAGTGCCTATTATAAATGTGCATACTTAATATTATAATATCACACAGTTTTGAAAAAAATAATTTATTCTCTAAAAAAAAATCATGACTATATTACCGATATAAACAGCTACTAGTGTAATTTATTCAGTAATGAGTTTATATATAAATATATATATAGGTAGGCATTTGATTTGGGAGCCAATTAAAATGCCAACAAATTAAAACAACGGTAGTTAAAATATTAAAAAGTATGAAATATCGAAGAACTATAAAGTTTATTATTACCAAAGTAAGTATTGACATTTTAAAATGTAATGTGGCCAATTTTTTATGGTAAAAATAATCGTTTTTAATAGTGAAAGTAAAAAATTAAAAATATTTATAAAAACAGATTATTTTTTCCTTTTAAACACTATATGGTATAATCAAAATTATTATTATTAAAGTTTTTAATTATTTATTTAATTTTATTATTACACATTATGAAATTATTCAATTAAAAACATGATTTTTTTTTCATTAAAAAAAAAAAATAAATAAATAACTACCGTTTTATTTATAGAGATTACGACAGTTGATATTTTAAACTGTTGACGTTTCATACCACACCCATTTATAATTATTATATTGAATTTCATTTTCATTTTTTCAATGAAATTGTATTATTTTATAATTTTTAATTCAATTAATAATATTTTTTATCAACTATCTATCTATGGACATAATATACTTATATTTTATACATATTTACCTGTATCATTAATTTTTTAATTACATTTTTTACGAATTCATTGTTGTATTTAAAGATATAAAAGCATGACGTTTTGAATTATATTAGGTATAAATTTTCATGAAATAAATTGTAATATAGGTGACTGGTACCTACTAATAAATATAATATTATAAAAAGAAGTAATCATAATATAGATCAATTATATGCTTTTATATTATACACCTATACCTATACCTATGTTATTCTATTTTGTGTATTTCGTTTACATAGAAGCTATGCATAAAGACCTATACATATAGGTAATATATTATTATATACCAACAATGTAATATATCAACGACACTGCAGTCGGTTACAGAATGATAACGAGCATGTAGATTTGTGTTTAGATTGTGTTTTTGTTTTCATCAGTATAGCTGGCGGTCGCAGTAATTCAGTATAATACGTAATAACAAATAACAATTACTATATACATAATTATTCGATATTATAAAGAAAATAGCACCTTGTACAAACCACAACGCACTTGAATATCGCTTATAAATTATATATGTATAGCTATAGTTAGTAAATAATATTTATAAAGACATAAAACAGACATTTTATTAATATACGAATAATAATATTAATGCAATAAAAGCATTAATAAGTATAGGTACAGTATTATTAGATGATTCTTTTATCACGAATTACTCATTATTTAAAAATCTATTAATGTTTTTGAATATATTTTTCTTATATAATTTCTATAGTCGAAATAAAATAAAGGTTTTTTATTATTTTTTATCGTTGTAATTATTTAAGCTGTTTAATTTTTTTGAATGACAACATGCATATTTTGTAGTTTAATATTTTAGAGCAAAATATTTTTCGGAGTATTTTGATATATAAAAATCGAAACTCCGACGAGTAGTTTAGAAATTATAAGTATTTTAAGTGTATATGAACAGATTGG